GGAATGCCAATTAATTGTAATTAGAACCACTGTAAGCGTAACTATTGCTGTTACGTTCCACTAATGAAGCAGTGCTGCTGCGGCCCCTGTGTATTTACCCCAGTGTAATCTATAGTATTGATGCAGGGGGGGGGGGACTGAGAGCAGACAAGAGAGGCTGCAATTAAGCCTGACATCGGCTGTGGTGCAAGAATGACACCTTGTGTTCATACTAGGTATTACATCATATTTTTGTTTTATAATTGGGCAATGTAAAGGTTGTGCTTATTCCCCATATAAAATGATTGCAAATTGAGTTTTCTGCCACTGGAAGCTACAACTGTACATACAGCATGGAGTGTAATAAAGTAGCCTGCTTCAGACCTCTGAATTGCCAGCCACCCCTCAGATTTCTTCACTGATTCAAATCGTGAATGAATAAAGTGAAACAAAATGGCAATTGGGTCTGATTATCAGGCAGGTTATGAAGCAGCTATAGTACTAAAATAGAATGCACAATAATTGTGCCAGTTAGAACACATCCTTAAGTATTCACACAAAAGCAGAATCAGAATAGTTTATATTAGATACTAATCAGATAATTAAACAGAATGTAACCAGAATGCATTCACTATGTCAAGGAACAGCATTGGTTCTTTCTTTTGCTTTGCTTAGCCTCCAAAAATAATTTTCCTGCCCCTTCTTGGCATAAAATATGAAGCAAATAATGATCCCTTTGGGGAAACTGGGGTGTTACAACCACAAAACTATGAAACTGCTTGTGTGAGAACAATATGGTGCTTAATACTGTTCAATTCAGGAGCACAATACTTCATACAGTAACTAAGGGTAGTGTTAATTGGTTGAGTGTGTCGTTTCATAAAGGTTAGATGAGAAAGTAAAGTTTTGTTTGAGTTAGAACAGTGTGTTTAACTGTAGCACTGCTTTTTCACACAGATAGTCTGTGTGAAAAATATTGAAAGGTTTATGAAAGTTTAATTCTTCATAAGTGTGATTTGAAAGGTTTTCTCTGTTTGTGGAAAGTTTGTCAGTGTAAAAATGAAAAAAGGCCGTACACTAGCTTCTGGTTATTTAACATAGCTGTAATCAAATCACACACAAATACAAAAACATCAAGCATACAGTAACACAATAAAGCCCAAGACTTATTTCCTTCGTAGCCCTCGATTTAAAACAGCAAACTGCATGTGATTAGAAATCATACTAGCACTAACCCAGTACCACAATAAATAAGTCATCATCAATAAAATCACTCAAAGTGTAGTACTTCATGCCTGGCACACCATACACCAACTGTGCCTAAGGGTGGTGCTAACTGATCGATAGAGTCCAATTCAGAAAGGTCACTCGGAGCATTTCACACATTTGTAAACCTACTATTCTGTCTTGATTTCACTATTTTCAGACCATATTTTGCTGTGTTAAACCGTTTGAGACTTTACAAGTGTTATGCTCCATGTAAAATCTGGGGTTTAAAGCTCCGTCCGTGTCGAACTACAGTTAGCTGTTTTGCTGTGATTAATCTTGATTCTAACAAGTCATTGAAAATTAGAATTCTTCAAAATATGGTCAAATTGTCCTGCCTGCATGAGAGTTGGAGGCCTCATCATACACCTGCCCACGTCCATATATGCCCTCCTTTTTGTAATATTCTCTGAAAGTCTTTGCAATAACCATTTTTAAAAAAATATATTCCTTCGGCGTAATAGTTAGTTGAGCCTCATGTAATAGTCCGTGTTTAAATGTTCTTTGCTCATTGTAATAGTTGGCAGAAGCTCGTGTAATAGTTCGTGTTTTGTGTGTGAGCAGGCTCTCAGGTAACAGAGGCCCTGCATATGAAATGAGATGGTAATGAGGAGGAGGAGGAGGGGAGCCTTATCACTACAGGGCCAAATTCCGACAGTGAATTGCGCAGTTGTAACAAAAGTAACAGAGCGTCCATTCAGCCTGCACTAATCCAGATGGGAAAGTCAAACAGCAGAAAGTCCACGGCACAAACTCATTTCATCACTTTATTAATTTAGATATTGCCTCCTCGCTCCTGTGGGGAGGAAAAAAAAAAAGAGCCCCTCTGAAATGACCAACATCGGTGAGGCGTTTTGCTCTACATGGTTCCCCCACTTCGTCTCCTCCCGTTATCTGTTTAATTCATCCCGCCAATCTTGGCTGTCTTTACCCACTAAATTTCCCTTTGACACGCATGCCTTGCTTCGCATAATCCTCACTCCGGGGCAGAATTAAAAATGGAAAAAAGAGGAGGGAATAGGACAGGTGGCTGGAGAATCCTTGAAATAATGTTCAATGCCAGACCCAGGAATGATTTGACCAGATTCGAACTAGGGGGCTGATAGGGAGAGAGGGTTTTTTTTCCCCTTTATTTTTGGAATCAAGGGGTAAGAAATGGGTGACAGGTGGAAAATGTGCAGAGACTGAGAAGTCCCTTAAGAGGCAGGTCGAAGAGTCAGTTCTAAATTGTGGTGCCAGAATGACTTCGGGGGGAAAACTGTGGCAAGGAAGATGAAAATGTCAAAATGTCACTCTCCGGAGGTCTGATTTGAAAAGTTTTTTCTGTCTACTGAAGACAGAAAATTAGAGCAGTCAACTTGTTTCTCTTCCCCATTCTGCCTGTATCTATTATTGACCTGCAGGGACTGTCTCTTCTATCATGAATATGGCAGATATGTTATCTTTACACAGCCATTTGTAGGAGTTGAACAACCATTCTCGGCTGTTTGTAACCGCTTTATCTGACCAATCAGTGCTGACATGCTTTGCCGGAGCAGAGTTTGATATTTCAAGCTACAGTTCTTTGGATAGCAGCATGTCATATCAACAACAGGTGAAATGGGTTATTTTACACATGAAAAGTGCATGTTTATGATGTAGGTTTGATATGATCAGTATAATGGCAGTGAAGCAGTGCCGAACCCTGCCTGTTATACAGTGAAATGTAGACTGTAATATACACGGAGGGCTTGTGCTGTAAGATACTCTTACTACAAGTATTAATAGGTGTTGAAATAATTAGTAAATTAACTGTCAATTAATAGTCAATTAAAAGAAAAATAAATCTTTAAGAGTCTGCCGCAGTGAGGCTGCTAAATGCTAACATCAGCATAGCAAAATGGTAACAATGACAATGTTAATATACCGAGGTTTAGCAAGTAATGTTTACCATGTTCACCGTGTTAGTTCAGTGTATTACCACGCTGACATTGGCTAATTAGCCCTAAACACATAAACCATTGCTTAATGGTTTAAGGCGCATACCGCATACACTCAACGTCCACGGTTGGGGGACCTTGGATGTTATATCCCGCTCTCTCCTGACATTTCCTGTCTGTATCTCTACTGCCACTATCAAATGAGGGCAGAAAAGAATCTTAGAAACAAAACGGCAAAATAAATTACAAACTTAACGAAATAAACCTAAATGAACATGAAGGTCTGTACTTTATGGCAATCCATGAGGCATTTCACTACACACCAAAAATGTCAACCTCAGGGTGGCATTAAAGAAAAAATCAGGGGTTCACTTAAGCCATTAGGACTCATCATCTGAGTCACTAGGAAAATCTGCATGAAATACTGATACATACTGACATTGCCATTATTGAAGCCAGAAAAAAGCAATTTGAAGACATCACGTTAGGCTCTGGAAAATTGTTACGGGCATTTTTCACTATTTTCTATCATTTTATAGACTGGGCGATTAATCAGTTTATTGGTAAAATAAATAAAATGATCTACTATTACTATTGAAATTAATCAGTAGTGAAAAAAGGCATTATTTGCATCCCTGTTAAGCTTACCCTAATATCATAGTCCTTTCTCAGGTATTGAAATGTACTGTAGGACTGAACGCAGCAGAGAGAAATCGATAAGACACAGGGGCACAGCGCTGTACGTCTGGCCAAGATCAGGAGTAAGACTAAGACAGTGATGAGTGTTTCCTGGTGCTGCTGTTGGTTGCGTGTAGGAGCAGGCTGCGCGGTGCGGCGATGGCGGCAGCAGGCGCACGGCACTATTGATTGGGCTCCACAGGCTGAGACCAGCCAATTCAGAGCACCAGTGAGCCGAGACCGATTGGGCCTCCTGAGTTACAAAATCCCACAGCTCTTCTTCTCTCATCTGCCAAAAAAAGTGTATTTCTCATTCCCCAGGCAAATGTTTCTGAAGAGAAACTTTGAGATTTTGGATTGAAAAAGAACGGAGGAAGGCAAATATATTATGTATGACTTTGCTTGACTCTCTGTTATTGTGATCATAAAATCACCCTTGTTGTTGTAATAGAGCCGTTTAGAACTGTAGTATGTTGTTAACACTGACTTGATCATTTACAGCTGCTTTTATGTTTGAAGACTCAAGTGACTATTGGTAAACCTGGCGGTAGAGACTGGCAGTGATGGCTACACTTTAATGCCGCACTAATATTTTTATATTAATGTTTGATCATAAACAAGTGTCATCTGAAAGGGGTCGCTGGTAGAGATGAACCTGCAGAGAATTATCGACCCATTCTGCAGTCTCCCTTAGCTCTTTGGTGCGTTTCAGCATCTTTTACCACATTGTTAATGATTTGCGGCCCACAAACTCTCTTCATCTTTGCTTCTGACAGTTGCAGGTGGCTCTTCTAAGTGAAACAGCTCTGATAAACTCACTTAACATACTCTGACACAAACAAAAATGGCTTTTAGCAAGCTAAAGAAGCTAATGGGAGACTTCATTTCATAAGCTGGTTCAGAAACTCCGCTCAGAACACTTACTCATGAATGCTTACTCCATGTTTGCAGGATGTGTAAATAGCAAATTGCTTCCTAACACATTAGCTAGATTGCCTTTATAATGATTAATGATTCTGTTCTTCTGTTGCCGACCGGTGGCCAGAAATGAACTTTAAAAACCAGAAGCTCAAATGGTTAAATGTCCCCAAATTTCTTAAGACTTTAGTGCTCCTGCTGAAGTTTAATGGGTGTGGATGTTTGTGTGTGTTTGTTCAGGTATGGTAAGCTGTTGCCCTCACTCCAAGCCAGGCAGTTTTCAGCAGCTACAGGGCTGAGCCGCATGCTGATTATACTTGGGGCGATTGAACCGACTATTAAAGGTGAAAATGTCTCAGAAGAGGTCATCCAGCGCCAGGTCAGGCTAATGCACACACACACACACACACACGCACACACACACACACACACACACACACACACACACACACACACGGAGGCATCCCCTAAAAAAAAAACCAAAGGCAGCGACATTGATTGTTAAAATAATAAGAAAAAGCTGCAGAAAGGTTTTTTTTTTTTTTTTTTGGAATGTGTCATGCTGAAGGTGGCAAAGCAGGTCACAGCGATTTTGAGGGGATTTAGGGATAGATATAATAAGTCATGAAGGTAGAAAGGTGCTGTCATATACCATGAATTGAAATGAAATATCTGTATTCTGAATAAGCTTTTGTTAACCTAATTAGAAATATGGAGGAAGAAGTGATATGTTTCAGGCATTTTAAATCTGCTCCTCCCATCATTCCTGTGCAGCCACAGGATGGTGCTAGTGTGAGAATAATGTCTCCTCCTCAGCAGAGATACGAGAGGATGATGATTGCAGGAGCGTTTGTCTTCACATCGTCAGAGACCGTGAATTTGGCATGATGTGACACCAGACGTCATTTTAAAATAAATGAAAACTGAACCCCTTTCCTGGAGCTGACATGATGCTGCAATTGCACTGTATCTCCTGATGCCTGCTATATTGTAAACTCAGCCTTTTGACAGGTCATAGAGGAAAAGGCTGTTAATATAAACTACAAGCTTTTTCCTGTGTATTGCAGATGAAGTTTTTCTACAGGGGAGGCTCTTTGTATTTTGCACTTGTCCACACTCAGATCTGCTGTGAATCTGTTTAAACAGACACACACACACACACACACACACACACACACACACACACACACACATATACAGTGGTGACACTGCTTGTCATGAAGTCATGAAGTCAATTTTTACTTGCTATGGAAAACATCTCAGGCAGAGGAGTAGTAATGGATTCTGGTGATGGACAACAACCAATATCTTTGGAAACATGGGCTAATGCTCTCTATAGACTGACACCTTATTATAGCAGGGGAAGAGACACTCATGTTTGCCGCATTAGGGACATAGAGAAAGAGAGATTATTGCAGGAAAGCCAATTTAGTATTTGTTTATTGCATGTAAGTCCTACTTCAAATTCTTAGATTTTTTTTCTTTGGAGAAACAACTCACACTTTAGTGACCCTCTGTGAGCACCCAGTAACATCTGTTCAGCATTCATTTTTTTTCTGCAGCTGCCTGTATGATGCGATGACTCCTGCTCCGGGATGAATGTGAACAGTTCGTTAAGGCTCCTTGTTCTCTGCTGCCAGCCACCCACGATTTGATGGCAGTAGTGATGAGGGACCTATTTCAGCTTTTCAAGTATTACAGTTGTTGCCAAGGAGATAAGGACATCATTGTGCTTGAATTCTCCAAGGACAGAGAAAGGTTTTGTAGACAGGCTAGTGAAGGTTACAACATGCACACACGCACACACACAAGCTCGCCGGGCTCAATAGAGCATGCAGTCCATTTCTCAAGGGCATGTTCTGTAACCACTGCTTAATTGAACTGGAGCAGAATTGTTTGCTGCTATGTTAACGGCACCAAAGCGATCTGGTCACATCACATGATGGAGAAAAGTTAAAGGGGAATTCTGCTCAGTTTGAGAATTCCCATCTATTCTGATCGCGTGGTGAACTTTACGCAGCCTGAGCCGGACAATCAGAGAACCAAGGCTGAGATTCACAATGTCATATCAGTATTCTGTCTGGAGCTGCCTCACTGAATGAGCTAGACACTGACTTCTCTGCATTCAAATTGACTTACAATAGCAATCATTCATCATCTTTTACAAGTGATCTTGGAAATGTACATTTTGAATGGAACTAAGAAAGAGTATTACGTTCTGCTTTAAGGGACGTGAGCAGTTATGTCTCAGGGATTCAACCACAGTGTGATCATACTGTAAGTGCAGTTATAATTATTGTCAAGGGGGGGCTGTTCTAAATAAAGTGTGTGTGTGTCAAATGTCCCCAAAACTGTCAGTAATGGTGGTTGTGGTGATATGGGATGAGAGTTGTGTGAAGTTAGCCAAAAGGGTGACATGCTGCGACTGTGGAATAGGTTAATTAACATTCCTAATGGTCTTACAAAACAAATCTTTTATTGGAATTGCTCAAATAACTGAGCATGTGCAAGGGAACAGTTATTCTCTAAATTTGGTCTTCAGTTTATATACAGCATATACATAGATATATACTGTATATACTGTATATATACTCGTGTAAGCTTCTTGAAATGTCTGCTATCTAAAAATGGTGGTCAGAAGATATTATATATAACTGTTGTTACACTTCAGAGCAATATGTCTCTATTAACCTTAGAGGTCTATTTGTGCTCAGTTAAGATTTGAAATCCTTCCGTTTACTCCCAGAGGAGGACAGTCAGTGTCACCTGTGTGATCTGGATGAGGTCGAGAATGAAATGCCAAATTCTACTGTCCTTTTTATTATAATGTTTGAGTTGAGCTTTTCCTGGAAATGTCTGCTGCACATCCCAGTCTGATTTATATGACAGATGAAGGTAAATAATAACAGTATGTGTTTACATACAAGGCGTTGGACATAGCTCCGTTTTTGTTAGATGCTTGCCATCACCGTGTGATGTGTGTGACGTGTTTAATTAGTCAAGTGTATGTGTTTGATGCATATACAGTGCTGTGTACTGGCTTGCTTTCTTTTTGTGTTGTCTTGGCTCTGAAGGTAATGAAAGTAGTGTTCATTCATTCATTTATTTTAGATGTTGTGACTGATTTATTTTCTCTGTCTCTTACAGAAATACCTACTGAGTAACCCTGCACACCAGAGCAGTGCTGTGGATGAGCATTACTTTTTGAATGAAAGTGCAGCTCAAGTAAGGTATGGCAAAGTCTTTTTTTCATTCTTTTCGGGATGGATTGAATGTTCAATGTAGAAGTCAGGTGGTGAGTATTTAAATTGTTTGTTGTTGCTTTTAAAGGGATATCACAAAGTTCAAGCCCCTCTCTAGCAGAACATCTGTGAGTGTGATCACTGGGGATTCCTTTGACCAGCAAATACCAGAACACCTAAACCAGGTGAGAATGTTTACTGTAGCTGCACAACTCTATGATGCATTATTAATGCTGGTACAGTGACAGAACAATACTGTAGTAATGGTTGTGCAAAAGCCATATTAAATCATCTTTTCCCTGCACCAGATGGTAGCTAAGCTTCAAAAGAAGTTTCTGGAGGAGTCCTACTCGTCAGCCAATCACATTCACATAAAAGGAGCAGACCGGCGAATGATCTACAAGAAGCCATCTGCCATCAGCCAGCACCTGAGGAAGCTAGTCAACCAACGACAAGCCAAACAGCAGAGCGAGTGACCCATGGCCAACATGTAACAATACCCCAGACATGGACAGTAATCGAATATGTTTTAAATATTCAATAAAATATTCAAGTTATCTTTTTACCTTTCCCTGCAGCGATCTGTAGAGATTGTCTAAATGTCTAGTGAGGTTCATCAAGTAGTCAATTTTTGAACATATTTTTGCACAGCTCTGCTCCATTGGAAGCTTTTTAATTGAAAATAACTGGAGGGCATTCAGTGTGATGAAATATTTGCAGTCTTAGATTCAGAAAATCGTATCTTTCAAGTTGTTATTTCAGTCTCTTTACCTGATTGGCAAGTGCCAAATTTACTCCTTATCAATGTAAAGGCCACACACGTCATTGCTCACCCTGATACTTTTTTTATCTCCTTCAGCTCTGTCTTAATATTCTGCCATGTTATAGCCAGAGGGAAATGTACATTGGGTTCCTATGTCTCTGTTGCATCAGCTTCAGTCATTTGTTACTTGTATATAATTGAGTTAAATCACAACCAGACATAGACCTCTATTTTTGGACTTAAGTTGATTTGATTTATTTTATAAATTTTAAACAGATGAGTCTTGCCTGCGAAACTAATTTATCATTTTTTGTAAATACATCTTCATGCACTTTTGCATCTATTTTAACTGTACTGGGCTTTATTTGGCAAAGTTGAATTCTAGTACGACTGTGTATTGGCAAGAAGCTAACGATATGATACATATCATGATATAGGGGTAACGATTCACTATATTGTGATATGTATGGCAATACTGTAATATATATATATATTGCATATATTTAAAAAAAAAAACATTTTAGGAAAAATGTCATAATATGCACATACACATTCCCTTATGCTTATATTCTGAGTAAAAAAGTTTTTTATGCCATCAGATCCCAGTGGGGTCTACATTTGTATTTATCCCGTAACATCCAACATCACTGCTACCTAGCAGTTGGGGGTTTAAACACAACACAAAATGAATCAATGCCACAAGTTTTGGACATAAACTAGTACTTAAAAAGCTATACATGGTTTTTGAAGATCAATACAATATCACAAGACATAATATCACGATACTCAAATATATCACTATTTTCTTACACCCCTACTCTTTTGATGGCTATACAGTATTGTGAAAGAAAGACCAGACAGCATTGGTTTATCCTGAGGATTTAAGTTTAATTATGACACCACATCAAAATAAAAATTTCCAACAGATCTGGAATTTAATTCCATCCATATACATGCATAGCAACAACGTTTTAAGAAACATTTTCTCCCATAATCAGGACATTGGAATGATCATTTTACATCAGTATCCCCACTGACCTCCCACCCATCTTGTTCTTCAGCAATAAACTTAATTCTTGTACAACTTCTTTTTTTCCCTATGGGGTTACAAATAATTATATGCACAGTCCCCATTTCATAATACTGCTTTCAGTAATGTTCCCTAATTTACAAAGTATTGCATTGAGAGCAAATTTCAAAAAGGGAGACCAAAGTGTATCATCAAACAGAAATACGAGTACTATACAAGAATGCTGCCATCCTCATGAAAACATCCACATCTGAGTTGAAGAAAAGAGACAGGGACAAACAGCCACATATGTATGCAAAGCCATGTGTATATGCCAAAATGTGAGATGCAGGGTTGTGCCTGGTTATCACCCCCAAATGGTGATTTTTAAGGCAAACAAGTCATTAGTAGCAATCTGCAAGTGACATTTTGGGCATATACAGAAACTGGTACAGCAAATAAGAATACACAAGTGCCTCAGTAGCTATTTTTGTGTCTAAAATGCATCTCATTTTTGTATTGTCTATTGTTTCATTGAGCCTACATTACAGTGTAAACAATATGTGTGCTACACAAGAATGACTATACAATAACATTACAAACAACTCTGATATAAATTTCATTTTGAATTTAAATTAAGATCACTACTCCTATTAATACTGATTGTAAAATAAATTAATGTGAAAGTGGCACCAATATTATTCTTGATTCATTTTTCTTTTCTTTTTCTTTTTTAACCAATGGTTTTGCATTTTTAAGTCTTAAAACGATGAAAGAAGAAGCTTCTCTTGATTGTCCACAAGCAGCGTTTAGCACTGCGTGATGCACTATTCCAGACACAACAGTGTACCAAAACAAAGGAGAAAAAAGGGGTAAAAGTTGGGGGTGGGGTGGGGTGGGGTGGGGGGGGGGAGTTGTGGGAGGGAGAAGAAGAACCTGTCTTATTCTTCTCAACTTATTTTACATGCTCTGCAGCATGTGATGAACAGTAAAACTTCTTATGGGTAATAAAGTTTGACAGGTTGTTGAACTGGATATCACAGAGGCGGCAGTATTTGCCACTTCCAGAGCCGTTCACGCCTTTGTTGGCTGTGGGTGCCGCCTCCTCGCTTGGAGACTTGGAGGAAGGCGACATGTTCTCGTTGGAGTCAGCCTGGTTCTCAGTGGCCCACGTAGGTGAGGGATTGGGAGGTTGGCCGTCTGGCTGGGGCTGGTTCTCCTGCTGCGGTGGAGCTGTGCCTGAACGCTCCTCGGGCTTGTGCCCCCCGTTGACGATGACCATGCCCCGGTTTTTGGGCAGAAGGGGAAGGGACTCCTTGCCAGGGTGGGGGCAGCCATTAGCAGCAGGCTGCTGGGCCTGGTCTCTGGTTGTTCCTGTCTCTCCTCCTCCTCCTGCGCTGCCTCCTCCCCCGTTAACGCTCTGCTCCTGTTCGCTGGCCTCTCCCTGCATCATTGCTCCCCCAGTCACATAATCGGTTGGCTTTATCCCAAAGTACGGCGATATTTGTTCAGGACCTTTCACCTTCTTTATTGCTCCGGGATAAAGGCAGTGGGGCAGAAACATATTCTTGTTCTCATCTTTTGATGGAATGAGTTGGGGCTCAGCAAAAGTCTTGAGTCCCGACACAGGCCCCAGGTGAGGGGGGAACATGCCTCCATTCTGCACCATCACCTTCCCATTGCCATTCTTGTCACATTTGCCTGGGCTCTTATCGTAGACATCATCAGGGTTGTTACTGCCGTCACTTTTCACATCTGGGAACATGGTCGACTCCAGGCTGCCAGCCTCATTGTGTTGTTGCTGCTGTTGTGGCTGTTGTTGCTGAGCGGCGGCGGCGGCGGCAGCAGCAGCGGCGGCGGCTGTTGCAGGGCAAAAGTTCTGTTTGTGTGCCAAGTAGTTCTCCACTTTGTTAAAACTTATCTTGCACACTGCACATTCGTGATAGTCCAACAGTCTTTTAGGAGAGCTACATGTCTTGTCAGGGACTGGCGAACACTTTTTGCTGAGATCAATGGGAGCGTCCAGCTCCTGCTGCTCCACTGTATTGCATTTGGGAGCCAGAATAGGTTTAGTGACAGTCAGAGAGGCCTCCAGGTGTTTGGGTACCATACCTGGGAAGATGTCACAGCGGGGATGGAAGCGGTCTGCTAGGCTCTCTACAGCTTCCTGGGATGTACAAGGGTTCATAGGAGGAACCCCAAGGAAACCCGGCTGACCCATAGGGGGCCTTTGGTGGTCCTGGTCAGGGAGACACATCTCATACATCTTCCTGCGTTTGCGGGTTCTCATGGTTCTCTGCATGGAGGGTACCTTGTTGGTGGACATGCGTTTCATGGGTGGGTCATGACGGGTAGCACAGTAGTACTGCTTGTGGACCATGTAGGTCTCATGACGGCTGAAGGTGATATTGCAGGCTTCGCAGGTTGTCTTGTTAGGGTCATTGTCACTTTCCACCAAACCCGTACTGGGGCTTTTACCCTCCATCTGCTTGCCATTCAGCCTCTCCTCAGCCCCAGTCGGGGTAGAGACCTTTTTCACCTGTCCTGCTAGATCCTTATCAGGCCCTTTAGCCCCAGCATTGATCATGTCCAACACATTGGAGTTCAGACAGGCAGACTGCATGAGGTGGTTGTCGGCCTCTGTGGGGTGGCAGCCGGCCAACATGCTAACAGAACTGTGACCACTGTTGGGGCTCACAGCCTCCGGGACCTTATCTGAGAGGGCGGAGAAGTCCGGAGACTTTGCCATGTGTTGCCAGCGGCTGTTACAGTAGTGCTTTTTGTGGACCAAATAGTTGTCCAGGTTGCTGAAGGTGATATTGCATTCGAAACAGGTGGCCCCTTTGGGCATAAGAGGACTGTAGATGACAGGGGGGTAGCTGTTCCCTCCATGGCGCAGCCTCCGGTGAACTAGCTCTGACATTTTAGCCAGAATCTCAGAAGCCTGCGGGACTACTGAAATGTCTTGGGAGAAAGCAAACTGAGACAAGAAGGGGCCCATGGGAAATGTAGGCATGTTATGCTGCACAGGGGAGGAGGCCAGCCGGGGGCTGGAGGGCTCAGACTTGATCCTAGTGTAAGAAAAACTGGCTTTGCTGCCTGGGTGGGCCTCTCCCTTCTGAACAGACAGCATGGGCTTCTTCTCAGCCTTGTCAGCCTCTCCGTCTGTGCTGGTCTCCTTGTTGAGGGCCCCTTTGGGACTTCCCAGCAGAGCATCCTTCCTGTTGGCCAGCTCAGCGCGGGCCTGCTGCTGCTGCTGCTGGAGGCTTTCCTCGGGCCCCCTGGGGGAATGCTCGGTGCCGTCGCCTTCCCTGTGAAGTTTGCTGCCGTGCCCATGTAAGTCCTGATGCTGTAAGAGTTCCCTGTGGCTCTGGAAGCTGATATGGCAGTGATTGCATCTGAAGGCCGCCTGTGACAGGTGAGACATGATGTGATGCTGGAATGTAATAAGAGAATCTGCCGTGTAGTTACAGATTGTGCATTTCAAGCTGGTGCCAGGAGGGAGGCTCTCTTCCATTTTGACACCTGTGAAGGAGATAAAAGGGAGAAATGCTCAGAATCTCGCCTCCCACTTCTCCTTTAGAGTTAACTGTAGAAACCATCAAATGCTCATGCATTATGCCAAGCTTATTCCCATCCACTAGATTTTTTTTGCTCAAGGATAAACTGTCAACTATGCTAGCTGACAGCGGGATATGTATATTTCTGAAAAGAAATGACAGTCATTTTTCCAAACCTGTTTAAAACTCTGTCCCGGTGTCATTTCTTTCTAAAACAGCACTTTT